TAATTAAAAGTTTTTTAATAAAGTTAAAAAAGTTTCTTAACTAAGTTTATAAAGTAGAATTTTAAAAATGTTTTTTAATTAGAAAGTATATTATTAAAATTAATTGTTAAAATTTTATTATAAAAATTAATTTTTAAAAAAAGATGCAGGCAAATTTGTATGCAATACAATTTAAGGGATAAAAGTTTGTAGAACTGAGAAACCAGAGCTTACTTGAAAATTCTGAGCAGTGAAGTAGCACAAATCTTTAATAATATTACTATAAAGACTAAATCTAGGAAACAGATACCAATATAAAGGAATTAGATGAACAAGAACCTTGAACAAGGGGTATTACTAACTAGGCTGTTAGATTTTGGACTAAAAGAAAAAGATATTAGACTGGTTTCAATATATTAAAGACAGATTATAATCCTTTTGGACTATCTGAATTAGAAGTTTAAGAACAAAGCAGAAATATACTAAAAGTACTAGGAATATGCTATAAAGTTAGTGCTAGAGTCTAGGTAAATTTTGTAAAAGTAACCTTTGTTAGTATTCTAAAAGTAAATAGATAATTAATAATGAAGAACCTTCTATAGTTTACTAGCAAATATTATATTCTAAAATATATAATAGTCTGAAAATTAGTACAAAAAAGGTAGATACTATACTGCTTAGATGGTATACTAGTTAGGTATATATGAGAGATTAGTTGAGGTTATATTATAACAGAACAGATGATTAGAAGGTTTAAATAAATAATTTTCTGATAAGTTATAAGTATAATATCTAGTATAGAATCTTAAAATGAACTACTTAAATAGGCAACCAAAAGTTGTATATGTAACTAGCTGTACTCTCATTTTTGTAAAAATAGTTGTAATAACTAACCCAATAAAAGTCAATAAAATATTACTACACAGTATGATCTTTAATATAAAAAAAAAAAATTTTTTTATATTAGTATGATTATATTTTATATATAATATAAAATATAATAGAAATAATATAGTTCAAGTTTTTTGAAGTTATTTATACTAATTTTACAAAATTCTTTTTTAGTAGAAGTAATAATTTTCATTTATTCATTTTTGAAAAATTAAATTTTTATATACTGTATTATATAACTCTATATATAGATAATAATTATTAATTTTAAATTTTATTAAAGCAATAATACTGTATTATCTTAAAATAATGTTTATGATATAGATTAAAACTTTAACTGAATCAAGCTTAATTTAGATTGTTTTAAGCTTAACTCAAGCCAAAATTTCAATCTATACTTTGAATATATTATTTAAAAATAATACAGTATTGATCAAATTTTTTAAATTTATTTTTTTAGATTTTGTACTTTTGTTTAGGTTTGCTTGTTTTAACTATTATTTATTTATTTTTTAATCTTGAGTATTTTCTTTTATTATTTACACAAAATAGTTTTGCTAATAACTAGCTTTATCTAATTCTGATCAACTTTACTCACAATTATTTTAAAAATTAATACTTTATTAATGCTTATTTCACTAGGTGGCTAAGCTTTATAATAATGATAGTACCAAAACTGAAACTATAAGAGTAGGATTCAGAATGGTTAACTGTAACTGACTTATTTTGCATCTTATATAAAAACAGTGCAGAATTACATTCTAAAAATTAATTTATGATAACACATATTAAAAGAACATAAATATAGAAATAATCTTCATAACAAAAAACTCTTTCATCAGTGTTTGAATAATATGAATATTTGATGTTCAGGCTCCACATCTGTAATGACAGTATAAAACTAAATGTTTGGTAATTAGGCTTTATGATGATAGCAATATATACTCATGCTATTGTGTATAATATTATATAAGTAGATCCTCTAATTTACTTATTTATGTGCAAAAGATTATACTGATCTTGCATGGCATCATGCACTGTGCAACTATCCTTTATTTAAGAAAAAAATGTTAGAAATTGAATATTTTTATCTTTGACATGTTTAATAAAAACATTAATTATAAGAAAAATAATTGTAATGATTTAACGATCATGTTAAAAATGGTTAAATACAGTTAGTTGCATCTAAACCATACACTTTGTTTCATTGCATTTTTTGTGTATAAGAAATGTAATGTTATATTTGATGAATATCCACGAATTCTTTATAAATATTCATGAATTCTAAGAATTTCTTATGAATATCTGTGAATTCTCTGAATATCCATGAATTCTCTCTGAATATTCACGAATTTTTTATAAATATCCAGTAAAATGTGCATATTCATTCATTATTATTCACAAGTCATTAAAATCCGTGAATTTCATTAAATAGCCGCAATGGATATTCAAAGGATCCCAACTCTAAAAAATACTATTTTTTGGGTTTGTTTTTTTACCGATGAATATTGTTTATTAAACATGGTGACAGTATAGGTAAAATGTATGATCTATACATTAATTAAACTAGTGTATTCGAATCTATCAGTATCTATCAGTAAAGTAAAAAATCAATATTTGTATTTTGTAGAGTAATCTTTCGGTGAAACCACTAAACCTCTCCCCTTTCGCGCACCCCTATAAACAGTCTCTATAATATCAATAAGTTCTTGCTTATCTTCCAACGCCTAAAAATTAAAAGAATAGATAGATTCAATAACATTTCAGTGTGCATTATTAAAGTATATATATATGTTACTAACCCAATTAATTTTATTATTATTACCCGTTCCTAGATCGATCATGATATGTTTATTCCGAAAGAAAAACATTACGGTACAAGGATCATAAAGTTCATACATCTATATATATATATATATATATGCATTATAAATTTAAGAAACTAAAACAATTCTTTTAAATAAAAATTTACGAATTGATCATTTAATATACTTTATTAAAGTCTGGAACTTCTGTAATATCAACCTGTAAATAAAAAAATATTTGTCCATTTTAATTTTTAATCATAAAATATAAACCACTGCATTAGTTACAACTACTATTTACCAAATAAATTACGGCAAAATTTTTTACTTTTTCTGCTATGCCATATAAAGTTTCGTCCATTTTCATGCATGTTGGATCCTATAAATTGTGTAAATATCTTGTAATTACGGAAGTTGTCTAATGAACAAGACAGAAAATAGCTTCAATCTTACCCAATCATGCCCAAATCTAATAACAACTACCCGATCCTCTTCTGATAAAATTGCTTGATCTACCTGCCATCCTATATATACATTTGAATCGTAAAGAAAAGACATAAGTTAAAATCGTTCGTATTAAAATAACGTTGAAACAAATACCAACCATTAGTCAAATGAGGAAGAAAATACGACATTTTTATTTAACCTTTTTTTTTAGAGAAATATTTATCGACACAGTGCACAGTGATTGTGAGAAATGATTTTATTACAGTAATTGGCCAAAAAAAATCATCCAATGATTTTGTGCGTTGAATATCGATATACCCGATACGTATATACCGATACGTACAAATTTTAAAAATCGTCGACCCAATGGAACAAAAAAAACCTTTAAAGTACGGTCTTAATATAGTCAGCTCTAAAAAGACACCCACAAAAAGAATTTCAATCTTTACTGAAGAGGACATTAATAATGAAGAGGATTCTAACATTAATACGAGTTCTAATAAAAATAAATATACAAAAACTGTTAATCAGCAGTTATTATCTTCGAATTCAATAAATCAGTCAGTTCAAGAAAAGTATAAAGCAGCTTTAGAAGAAGATCCTACCGTGTTTGCATATGATGAAGTATATGATGACATGAAAAGCGTTGAACGAAAAAGAAAGGAAGAACTTAAAGAGAAAAACGATGGTAGCGCCAAAAAGGTATAATTTTTTTTTATACAATATAGTTCAATATTAATATAGCATTAACAATTTTACTTTTATAGCCTAAATATGTTGAAGATATATTAAAAGCTGCGGAGGTCCGACAACGAGATTATATTCGTGCACAAGAACGTAAAATTCAAAAAGAACGAGAGGCTGAAGGGGATGAATTTGACGATAAAGAAACTTTTGTCACATCAGCGTAAGTCTTTATATTTATTTATTTATTCAAACCGTGTTTAAAGAATTTAAATACGCAATTTCTTTTTTTTCGAAAATAATAGATATAAGGCACAGCAAGAGGAATTGAGAAAGGCAGAAGAAGAAGAAAAGCTGAGAGGTATAGTTAAAATTATATTATATGTCAATGTTTGTGTAATTAATAATAATGATGCTTATTTGTCAATTTATCATATTTAGAAAAAAATGATGGAGTTGGAGGGAAAAATATGGCCAGTTTTTATCGAAATTTATTGGACCAAACTAGTTCGGTAAAGGCTGCAGCCATTGAAGCAAGTCGCTTGGCATTATCATCTAAAAAAGCGGAAAAACGCGCGCGTTCCAGTTCAACATCCGACAATTCTGACGAAGATGATAACAAACATTTAAAAACTGATAAAGAACTTGCAGATCAAGCACGAGCGACTGGTAAAATGGTTGTATTGAATGATGACGAACAATTAGTAGATAAACGACAACTTTTGTCACCAGGATTAAATGTTACCAAAAAGCAAATAAATTCATCAAAATCGTCGCGTAGCACAGAGTCACGGACAAATTATTATGATAAAACAGATAGCGGAAATAAATATAGTTCAAGGAATAGTAATGAAATAAAACGTCGTGAACGACAGAGCAGAGAAGTAGAACGGCAAATTTTGGAGACTCAACAGAAAAAAGAAGCAGAGGAAAAGGCCCAGGAAGAACAAATTTTAAAACAATTTGCAAGAAAGAACGACGAGCAAGCTATATCTGATGCTAAGGCTAGGTATTTGGCTAGAAAAAAGAAGGCTCAGATATAAGTTTGCCCACATAAATAAATTTAGTATACTGTATCTTTGTCTAATAATAGTTCTTTTATTTTAAATATTTTGAGTGATTGAAGATTTTGATCACTAATTAGTAAAAAAAAAAAACAATCATTTTTTAATTATAAAATTACCTAAATGTCTTATGTATATTGTTTTGTATATGGTATACTAATACTGATACTAATATTGATATTAACATGCCACTATTTTTAAATAATCAATTTGGTTCAGGGACTACAATCTGTGTTGGTCCTACATATCTCTTAGTATTATAAACACTTTCGCCTACTTGCCAACCTGGCACGTCTTTCATTATTTCAGCTTCACGCGCTAATGCAGCAATATTACGACGATATGTATCGCGATCCAATTCGGCTGTAAGCAACGGAATCAAATGTATACGTGACCAAAGGTGTTCACGTTTAAGTTCTCTATTATTCACAAATTATATTCACTTGCATTAAATTACCTTCGTTAGGGTATTTTAAGAATTCAGTAAAGATTAATTACCTTTTTTCCAAATTTGCCTGTCCTACACGATAAAAACCATAAACACTAATGGCACCAAGAACAGTAAATATAACAAGTCCTGAGGGACCTTTTTTGGGTAAATTTCTCTTATATCGAATGGAGGGAAATCCACCCGGTCGTGGAAGGTCTTGTGTTGCTGTATCCATTTTATTAGTGTCGTTAGCTAATTCACTGGAATAACTTTAAAAATTTTATCAAAAGTCAGTTCTATTGGTCAAATATGATGTGATAGTTATAAAATTTTATTGGTCAATTTTAATAGAAAATTTCTAAAAATACCCGTGCACGTTCGTGTGACTAATTTCAATCACTTGACTGTCATAAATTATTAAAAAAAAAAAGACTTATCGTTATAAATTCAAAGGTTGCTTTTGATATTAACTAAACAAATATTTTATATAAAAAATAAAACCTTTTTAAAATTATAATAACGAATACCACATAATAATTCACTAGTATATTATAATCACTTTAAGCAAAGCAAACAATATGTCGTTTTTTTAACCGTGCTATTGTTCAACACATTCTTTAAAAGATACTTTTTTTACTTAACTCTACCTCTTTCGAATGAAGATAACTCAAAGAGCTGAATTCTTCTTTCTTTCATATCATTTATTCGTGAACTCATATTTTCGCAGCACTTTTAATTGAACTAGTGTTCCTCACGGACCAGATCGGTTCGGGTTTTAGACAAGACCCGAAAACCCAGATCGAGTTTAGAATCGATCCAAAACTGAATGTAACCAACCCGGGGCCGACCCGAAACCGACCCGAAACCATTAAACAAATAGTAGTAATGAAAATCAATTTATTTATACTTTATTTAAAAGCAGTAAATTTTATTAAATATTTGGTTTAAAAACAGCAAAACTATTTAGTTAACTATTTAATTCTCTCCACCAAGACCTTAAACACATTGCTGTTTGTACTGTTTTACCAGATATTCAATTTCACTTTTCAGATATTATATCACCACTAATACTAAATATTTGCTCACTTGGAACACTTGTAGCTGGTATCGGAAGGCAGTCTCAAGTGAATTTTGCAAGATTTGGATAGCTTGGTTCATTTGTTCACCACCATTCTAAAATATTAACACTTGGATCCACTAATAGCACAAATAAATATATATTTAGTTCACTTCATTCAATGTGTTGTCATTTATAAATTCGAGACAATATGTTTATTTCAGATGATTCACTATTCATAGAAGTCATGTCTTGAACAAATGCATAATCAGTTTTATATTTCTCACTAATACTGAAAAGTTATTTTATATAACATTATTATATTTATTTACTGTATAATTTGCTGTATATTCTAACAAACTTACATATTTCTTATTTGATGAATTAATCGTGATGACCAGCCAAGTGTTGTCTCAAAGTACTCAACTTTAAATCTGGATCTAGTATTATTGCTATAAGATTTAATACATTAGTTTTCTGACAATAATTTAAAAGTTTTGACATTGCAGCTTTATATTCTTCAACAAGTCATTGCAGCATATCTTCATTTCGCACAGCCTCCTTAAGTATTTCTAATAATGTATAATAAAAAGGAATTACTATAGACAATGTTGGGTATTTTTGTTTTGACATTTCAACTATTGCTAAATTAAGTATAAGGTTAAAAATATGTAATTCATTTTTTAAAAGATCAAATAAAAATACAAACCATCTTTAAATAGTATCAAAATCGTAACAAGAAGCTTGATTTTGTCTCAATCTGTATCTGAAAATGCATACTGTTGTAGGTCTAAATCTGTATAAGAAATAGAATCCAAAACAACTTGCAGTGTAATTGCATGTTTGCATATTTTGTAGGTGGAGTTCCACTATGTTGAAATATCAAGAATTAGTTTTAATGCTTTATACAGTGCATTTGATACATTATTCTTAAATTTTTTTTGCGTATTTTTGATCCTCTAATACTTTTTATTAGTTCGCACAACTAAATTTATAATATGATGTAATAAATACAGTAAGTAAAAACTTTATTAAGGTATATGTTGTTATCCTATATCTACTTCTTTAAAGATAGTAGGTAACTAGAGCAACCTTAGACAGTGAACACTTTTTGTAACCTCACTTGTTACTGTGTTATAACTAAG